GAGTATTCTTCTTCTTCTTCTTCTTCTTCTTCTTCTCGAGAGTTCGACACACTCGGCGAATGTATGTGCGCTATGTACACTTAGGCTATCTTTCAGTAGGAACATTAAGGTTGTCGAATCGATTACTCGGAAGCCGGAAGTTCGATCCCGAGAACGGAGACCCGCGTCTCGTTTTAAGGGTATCCTCTTTTAACTTGGAACTCTGACAGTCGGAAACAGTGAGAGTTGAAAGTAGAGAACGGTAGTTCGCTCGATTTTTTCGTTTCTGGTGCTTTCGATTCGAGGTTTTTCTTTAGTCGTTTCGCTTAATACTAGAATTAGACGGGTCGAATTGGGGTCTGCGGGTTCGAGGAAAATTCGTTCCAACGGTTTTTTTTATCTTTTCTTTTTTGAATTTTTAGTAGGGAAAAATGTACTCGAAAGTTTGATCTTGTTTCAAGACTTTTGAAGATATTCTTCTTTTTTCTAATTTTCGTAGACTTTTATCTTTTTTTTTTTGGAATTTTTAACAGGGAAAAATGTACTCGAAAGTTTGATCTTGTTTCAAGACTTTTGAAGATATTCTTCTTTTTTCTAATTTTCGTAGACTTTTATCTTTTTTTTTTTGGAATTTTTAGCAGGGAAAAATGTATTCGAACGTTTTTCAAAAGTTTGATCTCTTTTGAAGATTTTTATTGAATTCACTTGAGATATTTCTCTTTTTTTACTTTTGGTAGACTTTTATCTATTTTTTTTTCTTTTTGCAAATTTTAGTAGTGACACCTGAAATTCATCAGTTTTGAAAAAAATTCATTCGAGCAGTTTTCAAAAGTTTGTCCTTGTTCGAAGATTTCGAGTCTCACTTGAGATATTCTTCTTCTTTTCATTTTTCAGAATGCCTTCATGGCAGTAAATGTGAATTTTCAAGTTTTCTAGTTGTAGTATTAATTCGAACGTTAACCTTTTGGTGACAGTTTTCTGTGTTTCACAGAAATTCCTCTTAATTTCTTTTACAGTTAACAAGATGCAATTTCGTTTTCTTTTTCATCGAGAGATAAAATGTTGGGAAATTGAACATTCAACGAGGTACTGAGAATTCTTCGATATGAGGTTACTTACAGAATAAAATGCATTAAATTAAACATAGGATTATGAGCTATCTGTAAACAATGGCTTAAAGTTAATTATTATACGGCCACCCTGTGTCTTTGATTAAATACAAGGAAACGATTCGTGAAATGCTTATGAGACAGTAGAACGTTCGCTGAAAAATTCGTAGTATCTTGTGAAATGCTCATTTTTCGAACACTTTACTACCAAACCAAAAAAAAAATACTTAATACTTTATTTAAAAAATGTATAATTGCATCTTGAATATACACTTGCCTCAAAAAGTTACACAGTTATCATTGGTCTATCCTCTACTATTAATTAAAAAAAAAAAAAAAAGCGAAGAAATTAATAACTCAATAATTCAGAAGTAATTTTTTCAAAATTCAATCAATTTAAAAATCTTCATTCACTCATGTGAGATGAGTAATTTCTGTCGAATAATTTATCAACTCAGAAATAAATGTCTCAAAATTTAATTAACAAATCTTCATTCACTTGGATGAGACGAGAAATTTCTACTAAATAATTTAACAACTGAGAAACGAATTTGTATAAAACAAGAAACTTCTGTCACCGGAAATTAAAGGTTAAACATTCGAACACTGCTCGTAAACGTAAAATAAAATCTCGAAGGCGACGCTCGACGCTTGCTCCGCGATCGCGATTATTCTTTTCCTCCATTTTCTTTTCTTTCTACAAACTTCTCAACAACTTCTGCTCGTTTCACGACCGTCGGCTGATTCCACAATATTCACGCGCCTCAATCGCTCAAAATAAGGTACACTCTTCTATTCGCTAGAAGACAT